ATAACTTTACCCCTCCCCCCTCCTTGCTGGATTGGAAGAAGGCATATTTATATACATATATATATACATATATATATACTGTGTGTGTGCGCGTGCGTGTGTGTATATATAATTTATATATGACTCTATATATATTATATATATTTTGGCTGTGACGGGATATTTGTCCCTGCTATTCTATTGTTTGTAACAATTTTTTTAAAGTTTTTCTGTGGTGGGGGGGGGGAAGCTTCGGGCTCCTCTCTGATACTCAATGGCCTGCCCACCGTGGCTCCGGGTGCAAGGTGAACGTTCCATGAAGCCCCGTAGGTCGTCGGTCAGCACCGAACACACAGGAGGGTGCAGAACCGCCGTCTGGCTGCCTTTTTTAAGCAGCTTGTCAAGCTGGGAAATCTTTTTTTTTTTCTTCTTTCAACTAAACTTTATTGAAAAACTGACACCATGTGCAGAAGATAAAGCTGGGATTTTGTTTTTTAACAAAACTTTATTGAGAACCGACACTGACGTGCTACAAGGCTTTACCGTTTTAACTGACCAGCGGAATCCCCAGGAACTTGACCAAAACTTTCTTCACGTTTTTTAGAGGAAGAAAAAGAAGAAACTGACGAGCTGCGATGGTACGGCGCGGTAGCCAGCCACCTCCATACACGCAGCCTCTTTGGTGTGATGCTGGGCCCCCGTGCGTCGCGGCCTGCCCTTTTATATGGCGCTACATTTTTGTTATGGTTGGACAGCTTTTCACAATCTTTTTTTCCATTCTTGTTTTTTTTTGTGGGGGAGAGTTCACCCACCCCACCCCCCGTGGGGGGGTGCACGTGTTCTTAATACTAAGGTGTGTGTGCGCATGGGTGCGCTTCTTTCTCTGGGAGGACCAGAAGAGGCGTTCTGAGGAATCCAGGGACAGGAGCGGAGTCCTGACCACTCTCTGACTTCCGTGCGTCTGCATGACCACCTTCTTATGGATTTTATTTCTTTTAAGGCTGTTGTGTCACCATGTGATCATTGGGTTGTTTTTTTTTTTTTTTTTCATGGTAACTTCCATCGACCGGAACATCCAATCAATTCGTTTCTTGGTTTCCATTGGGATGAAGTTGTTTTATATGTTATTTTTAGGTCACAATCCTGCCAATATTGAATAGGCCTGAATACTTGTGAGCCTGGGGAGGAGGAGGGGCTTAGTGCTATGTCATATTATTATTATATAGGATATTTATTTTTCAGCTCGGTACCGGTGCGCAGATGAGACACTAGATCAAACCCCACTACGTCATGCTGTGCTTTTCTAATAAAGTTTTTTTTTTTTTTTTTTTAAATTGGGGCATTAGGAAAGAACAATCTCTATAGGCAGTGTGGCGTGTTCTGGATGTATGATGTTCTCTATAGGCAGTGTGGCGTGTTCTGGATGTATGACGTTCTCTATAGGCAGTGTGGCGTGTTCTGGATGTATGACGTTCTCTATAGGCGCTGTGGAGTCTTCTGGATGTATGACGTTCTCTACTATAGGTGGGGTGGAGTCTTCTGGATGTATGACGTTCTCTACTATAGGTGGGGTGGAGTCTTCTGGAGGTAGAACGTTCACTATAGGTGGGGTGGAGTCTTCTGGAGGTAGAACGTTCACTATAGGTGGGGTGGAGTCTTCTGGAGGTAGAACGTTCACTATAGGTGGGGTGGAGTCTTCTGGAGGTAGAACGTTCTCTACTATAGGTGGGGTGGAGTCTTCTGGATATATGACGTTCTCTACTATAGGTGGGGTGGAGTCTTCTGGAGGTAGAACGTTCACTATAGGTGGGGTGGAGTCTTCTGGAGGTAGAACGTTCACTATAGGTGGGGTGGAGTCTTCTGGAGGTAGAACGTTCACTATAGGTGGGGTGGAGTCTTCTGGAGGTAGAACGTTCACTATAGGTGGGGTGGAGTCTTCTGGAGGTAGAACGTTCTCTACTATAGGTGGGGTGGAGTCTTCTGGATATATGACGTTCTCTACTATAGGTGGGGTGGAGTCTTCTGGAGGTAGAACGTTCACTATAGGTGGGGTGGAGTCTTCTGGAGGTAGAACGTTCACTATAGGTGGGGTGGAGTCTTCTGGAGGTAGAACGTTCACTATAGGTGGGGTGGAGTCTTCTGGAGGTAGAACGTTCTCTACTATAGGTGGGGTGGAGTCTTCTGGATATATGACGTTCTCTACTATAGGTGGGGTGGAGTCTTCTGGAGGTAGAACGTTCACTATAGGTGGGGTGGAGTCTTCTGGAGGTAGAACGTTCACTATAGGTGGGGTGGAGTCTTCTGGAGGTAGAACGTTCACTATAGGTGGGGTGGAGTCTTCTGGAGGTAGAACGTTCTCTACTATAGGTGGGGTGGAGTCTTCTGGATATATGACGTTCTCTACTATAGGTGGGGTGGAGTCTTCTGGAGGTAGAACGTTCACTATAGGTGGGGTGGAGTCTTCTGGAGGTAGAACGTTCACTATAGGTGGGGTGGAGTCTTCTGGAGGTAGAACGTTCACTATAGGTGGGGTGGAGTCTTCTGGAGGTAGAACGTTCTCTACTATAGGTGGGGTGGAGTCTTCTGGATATATGACGTTCTCTACTATAGGTGGGGTGGAGTCTTCTGGAGGTAGAACGTTCACTATAGGTGGGGTGGAGTCTTCTGGAGGTAGAACGTTCACTATAGGTGGGGTGGAGTCTTCTGGAGGTAGAACGTTCACTATAGGTGGGGTGGAGTCTTCTGGAGGTAGAACGTTCTCTACTATAGGTGGGGTGGAGTCTTCTGGATGTATGACGTTCTCTACTATAGGTGGGGTGGAGTCTTCTGGAGGTAGAACGTTCACTATAGGTGGGGTGGAGTCTTCTGGAGGTAGAACGTTCACTATAGGTGGGGTGGAGTCTTCTGGATGTATGAGAATGTTCTCTATAGTCTGTGGAGTGTTCTGGATGTATGAGAATGTTCTCTACTATCGGGCAGCATGGAGTATTCTGGAAGCATGATGCAGGCAGTACCTGACTGGAGCAGGTTCTAAGATGTGGATCTCACCTCTGGAGGTTCATCTGTAGGTGATTAAGATCTCACCGGGTGTTCTGAATTTTTATAGGAAAGTGATCTAGGACATTCGAAGGGCAGCTGGAACGTTATGGAATATATAGGAAGCATCCCTTTCCCCCACATTTTCTGAACACGGTGCACGGACCCTTAAAGCAGGCCAAGTCCCCGATATGTATACCATTTCAACTTGAAGGGATTCTTGGTCTCACCGTGCATAGCACTGCAGGCTGCACAACCCTTCCTCGAGCCATCATTGTCTAATCCCATGCATGCCCAGGAAAATGGAGCCACGGCTTATTTCAGAGGAACTCCTGAGTTGTCAAGGGTAGTAGAAGAGTTGGCGTTGATGCCAGAGGTGGAAGACGGGGTCTGACATCATACTGGTGAGCAGGCATTGATGCTGGAGGGAGGGGTCTGACATCATACTGGTGAGCAGGCGTTGATGCTGGAGGGAGGGGTCTGCCATCTTGGCGAGCAGGCGTTGATGCTGGCGGGAAGGGTCTACCACCACCTTGGTGAGCGGGCATTGATGCTAGAGGGAGGGATCTGCCATCTTGGCGAGCAGGTGTTGATGCTGCAGGGATGGGCCTGCCATCCTGGTGATTGGGCGTTGATGCTGGAGGGAGTGGTCTGCCATCCTGGTGATCGGGCGTTGATGCTGGAGGGAGGGGTCTGCCATCCCGGTGATCGGGTGTTGATGCTGGAGGGAGGGGTCTGCCATCCCGGTGATCGGGTGTTGATGCTGGAGGGAGGGGTCTGCCATCCCGGTGATCGGGTGTTGATGCTGGAGGGAGGGGTCTGCCATCCTGGTGATCGGGCGTTGATGCTGGTGGGGGTCTGACATCCTGGTGACATGATGCAAGGTGCACATACATATGGGACAGACTTCCAGGCAGGTCTTTCCAGGGTTGTGCTACTTCCAGGTCCATAGTTGGTGTTGGGGGTTCAGTTGCGGGTGAAGAGCTGTTCAGACTTCTAGACGCAAGCCAAAAATTCTCTCAGTGTAAAAAAAAAAAATTCCTAACGCTCAGGGTCCCTTTTCCATGTGACGGAGAGCGGCGAAGCTCCTCCACATACTCGGTACAGACTCTCTATAGGACTTGGAGGTCCTTGTCCAG